CAGATTATTTTTCTTGTAATAATTCGAACTTCCTCGATGCTTGACTGGTAAAAGCGCTGATGCGGCGTGGCTGCTGAGCGCAACCATAACCAAAGGTGACATAAATCAGAGATATTTGTTCAATGTTTCGGTTATAGCGAGAAAACATCTTTATTATAGTTTGAGTTCAAAGAGCCAAAAAGTCTATAGAAGCTCATTGAGTTTTGAGGCATTATTGCGACATGAGATAAAATGCTTTCATTTGATCCGTAGAGGCCATTTTCTTAAAGAAATATTGAATGCCGAAGTGTACAAAATAGTTTGAACAAAACGAGGCACCAAATTGTTCAGAAATTTTGCCTTTTCATCGTCTAAAGCGTGAATAATTCCATTTAAGTTGCTAATGATACAATGTCAGTCTTGATCTCTATGCATACTGATGAGAAATCGGGCCTATAGCTGGAAGCCCAAACCTGTTAAAGCGCTCAGAACTGAATCTGCACGTCCCGCTAAGAACAGAATTGTGTCAAAAATGCACACACTTTGGCTGCCAAAGGAACTCGGATTCCCGTGTGGGCCTTATACTGCACAACTACTCCGAACTACTCCGATGATCCTTGCACTTGCTCGTCTCCTCAACGTGCTAATTACCCACCGTCTCCTGTCAGCCTGCTCCCCTGGGTCCCCCGATTAGACACTTCACCGAAACCGCTCCTGACTGGCCGCTAATCCCCGGACAGCCCCCGGTGATGTTGCGTCCCTGTTAACACCTCCCGGGGACTTTTCTCGGCTAAGCCCGGGCGCGCTGCGCTCGCTAGATTAGGCCGAGTCAAGGATGGTATCTACGGCGGGCAGATTTTCTTTTCACTCTATCACTGTCATGTTTTTTTTTCTCACTGGGGTCGCTGTACTCCGCTTTCGGGTCTGAAAATCTCGAGCAGTACGGATGTGCTTGGTATTTTGTATCAGTTGTAGTCTGCTTCTTCATTGGCTCTTGGACATGTGGTTCGCGATTACGATTTAAAAAGAAAGAAGACAGAACAAGGGACATTACCCCATAATACTAATGATACGTAGAATACAAAAACATAACAGTGATCATCTTTGTAGATGCCGCCCCCAATCTTCATGATTATCGTCCTTTCTTTATAACAGTGTATATACTTGCAGTTATTTCACGAAACTTCACAAGCTTTCTTTCAGCAGGTGGTCAGAACGTCCGTTCGGATTGATCATCCACTATGATATTACAGCTCCAAAATGTAATTTTCCGTTATACTGAACTTAATGTAAGCAATTAGTCCGACTGGTCGGAGGTAAAATGAAGGTATGCACAGGTACGATAGTTCACACGAACGGCACCGAAAACCTTCTTGTGCGGGGGAGGGGGGGGGGGATCTGGTACTCCAAATCCTGACAACATATCGTTACTCATTGCAGGTGTACTAGAAAAGACACTTAGTTATGTTAACCAAATTGTTTACGTCAATGATGGCCCTTCAGTTCCACCATACTCAAGGGAAATTTAAAAAAGCATGCCTGGTAAAATAAGAGTAACTTCACTTATGGCTCAATATACACAAATAAAAGCACTCTTCTATTGGCAGCAGCTTAGAAGCGTTATACTCGATGGAGTTTTGGTACATGTATATTTGCCCTTAACGCAGGCCAGCGCCAATTAACGTGTTTACAATTTTATCTCGATTCGGTGAAAATTATGCAAGACCTGTCGGTCATACATTAAAACGTCCGTACAAGAACCATAACACGCAAGGTCGCTAATTAGGGTTTCGGGAAAAACACACCGACTATACGTGGGGCAATGAACTGAATCTGGGTCATATTACATGGAACCTCTGCCTTAGACTTGAAACGCTTCTGGATGATGTTTGCAGTCACAGCGGACACAGATGGCGTTTTTGACAACTTGTGAATGGAGAGTCAGGTTGATAGGGGAGTCAGGATGATAGGGGAGTCATGTTGATAGGGGAGTCAGGTTGATAGTGGAGTCAGGTTGATAGGGGAGTCAGGTTGATAGTGGAGTCAGGTTGATAGTGGAGTCAGGTTGATAGGGGAGTCAGGTTGATAGGGGAGTCAGGTTGATAGGGGAGTTAGGTTGATAGGAAAGTCAGGTTGATAGGGGAGTTAGGTTGATAGGGGAGTCAGGTTGATAGGGGAGTCAGGTTGATAGTGGAGTCAGGTTGATAGGGGAGTCAGGTTGATAGGGGAGTCAGGTTGATAGGGGAGTTAGGTTGATAGGAAAGTCAGGTTGATAGGGGAGTTAGGTTGATAGGGGAGTAAGGTTGACAGGGGAGTCAGGTTGTTAGGGGAATCAGGTTGACAGGGGAGTTAGGTTGATAGGGGAGTCAGGTTGATAGGGGAGTCAGGTTAAAAGGGGAGTCAGGTTATTAAGGGAGTCAGGTTGATAGGGGAGTCACGTTGATAGGGGAGTAAGGTTTATATGGGAGTCGGGTTGATAGGGGAGTCAGGTTTATAGGGGAGTCGGGTTGGTAGGGGAGTTAGGTTGATAGGGGAGTCAGGTTAATAGGGGAGGAGTCAGGTTGATAGGGGAGTCAGGTTGATAGTAGAGTCAGGTTGATAGGGGAGTTAGGTTGATAGGGAAGTCAGGTTGATAGGGGAGTCGGGTTGATAGGGGAGTCAGGTTGATAAGGGAGTCAGGTTGATAGGGGAGTCACGTTGATAGGGGAGTAAGGTTTATAGGGGAGTCGGGTTGATAGGGGAGTCAGGTTTATAGGGGAGTCGGGTTGATAGGGGCGGAGTTAAGTTGATAAGGGAGTCAGGTTGATAGGGGAGTTAGGTTGGTTGGCGAGTCAGGTTGATAGGCGAGTCAGGTTGATAGGGGGGGGGGTCAGGTTTATAGGGGAGTCGGGTTGATAGGGGAGTTAGGTCGATAGGGGAGTCAGGTTGATAGGGGAGTTAGGTTGATAAGCGAGTCATTCACGTTGATAGGGGAGTCAGGTTTATAAGGGAGTCGGGTTGATAGGGGAGTTAGGTTGATGGGGGAGTCAGGTTGATAGGCGAGTTAGTTTGATAGGGGGGTCAGGTTGGCGCAGTGGTTACGGTCCTCCCCTTCCTGATCCTTGAGGGTTGTCCTGGTCCACATGGGGATTGGGTTTTCAGTCCCTACCTTATACCGTGGGTTTTCCTCTAGACTTGGTGCCAAGTCGGTAATTGTTTTGGTTACGGTAACCGGTTACTGGCCCGTTCCACGCACGCAAAATATCGCTGCAATGCGCGTAGTCTGGTTCCCAGAACAAATGATGCTGACTATTTCTGATAAAATTACCGACTTGGCGAATACGTTTTCAGTTTTGTACACAACATAAGGGAGTATTTTGAATCACTAGCGAATTCTATGCGAGCACTCTGATTGGGGCAGATTCCAGAGCGTATTCTAGGCCGCCACGGAAGATCGTTCTCATTCTCTCGAGGGTTTGTAATTTGTCTTACATTATTCGTTATAGGGCATACACGACTGAAATAAATCAGGTATATCACAATGATACATTTTATTTCTTTACACAATTGACCAAGCTGAGTGTATTGGTCGTTAAAACGTTGCCAGATCTGCAAACATGTCCCTGTCGTATTGAGAACTTCCCATGTAACGGAATGAACGAGTCCTCATTTGCATAGCGGTGCGCGATTGGAGGTCACCGCAAAAAGTCACTGAATATGTATTGCGCTGCTTGCATATTTGAATAACGGTGCGAGAACATAATCGTCAAGTACTGGTCTTATACCAGCCGCCCCGATGGAGTTCGACTGAAGTTCACGGATAAAATACGACTGTCTAACGACTTGTCATCAAGTCTAGTTCCCCCCCCCCAGAAAATTCTGATGGGGTTTTCCTCGCACCCCAACAACTCTTATTTCTTCTTATTGCCTTCTATCTACATTTTTCTTCAGGCTTGCTAGCTACAGAACCTACTTTTGAGGGATCCTTGGTTTCATTACCAGACACAACCATCCGTGTGGGTTCGGCGAAAAGAAACCCACAAAAATATGACGCCAATAAGATGGTTTTGTGATTTAGCGTGTAATATCTTGAACAGAGCACAGAAGACGAGGATCAAGTTCGTTTGGCAAGTGCACCTGAAGTTGTTCAATTGAAAACAATCCCATGAAAGCACCAGTACTGTTAACTCGGTTGCAATGTATTTAAAAAAAAAAATCGTTTTACGGGTTGACTTGCTGCTGTTTCCTTCAGTCTCGTCAGATCGACGACACTTTGACAGAAACGGCTACAGGTCAGATGTCGATTGGAAACCTCACGCTGTCAATCAATTACAAATGATGCTTCGAGAGCAAAAATGACAGAAAAATAGGAATAGGGATTTCAGGTTAATTCATACAGATCAATTAGTTTATTTCCTTGAAGATTAACATCGAACTTTATGTATATTGATAAAAAAGTAATTGACATCTACATCTGCAACTCGTATAATGGCGTAAACTACAGAGTGTGTTTTGCGTCATAACAAATCAGTGGAAAACCCAGTCAGTTTCTCTTTGTGGTTTATTTGAATAAAGAAAAAGATCGTTAATTTTGTTTCTTGTTTGACTGTCCATCACGATATCAAGATCTGAATTACGAATTTGGTATTCTACAGGACAAACACTAAAAAGAAGAAGTAATTTTGACTCTTAAGATATCGCTTTTGCCTTATACTTCACGAGAAACAAAATATACAAAATTTGATCGCTACAAACACGAGATACATCACATCTCAAGGGCGCCACCAATTAGTTCCCGAAATTACACAGAGAGGGAGCTGTGATACTGTTGCTCTCTGTGATTACACGAGAGGGCGCTATGCTACTGTTGCTCTCTGTGATAACACAGAGAGGGCGCTGAGATACTGTTGCTCTCTGTGATTGTACACAACAGCGAATGATGCAGTTGTTTGTTGCAAATTCTTGTCTTGCAAACGGAATGACAATGAACTAACAATGTAACCGTAATAATTTGTTTTGAAATACTCGAGTAGGAAATATCTGAATGTAATAGTTCCTCTAAAAGGCTGCACTGCAAAAGTGTCAAGTGAGTACACTTTGAAGGGAGAAGGTCATCCAATGCCTTCTTTTTTTGCGGACTGTATTAAAAAAAATTATATATACACCATTCCATAGTACAGATCATGACACGGATTTCGATATCGGTGAGAAGTAAAAAATACTTAATGTTTCTTTGGGTGTTTTTGGTTTTATGATTATACTTGAGAGCTCTTTTACTTATTTCAGAATTCCATCTATTTTGCATTTTACATCGTCTATAGCGGCGGATAGTTTTCCTATTTATCGACCAGTCGACCCAGACGAATATTGTCTTCAGATTCAAACCTCTCGAATCTCAACACGGACAATGCGGGTTCGACCTTCGGCCCTTTGCGACCTCCCAGCTCAGCCAGCTCCGCGATCTTTGGTTGGAGGGAGACAAATTCGTAATCGCCGGCGTAGTTACCGCTCTCGACCGCCGCTCGGTACCCGTCCACCGCGGACTTCATGTTCTCCCCCATGACCGTGTACTCGCGCTTGCAGTCCGCCAGAGTCCGGGCCCTGGCCTTCTCGGTGGAGTTGATCTCATCCTTGATGCGCTGCTTGGCAGCCCTGACTCTGGCAACCTCCTCGTTGGCCCGCTGGTCCAACTCCTGGCGGCTGTCCTCGGCGGCAGTTTTGAGATCCCGCTCCACCTCCTGGATGACCTTCAGTTTATCCTCCAGGTCCTTTGTGAGTGCTTTGATGATGGCGATGGATCCCTCGGCGGCCTGCCTGGCTTCTGAAGCAGCCGCCCCAACGGCTTGGTGCTCGTGCCCGCTGTGGGCCTCGCTGGTGCAAACCTCGCAGATGAGCTCCCGGCACGTGTTGCAGTATAGACGGCTCTCCTTCCAGCTGTGCGCTCGGCAGACTGGCACGGAGCCCCGCTCCCTCTGGTGCAGCTTGTGCGCCGCCTCCACCATATCCACCAGCTTGAAGTTGGTCCGGAGCGCCGACACGCCACCGTCTTGGGGGAGGGTCGTGGCCTGCCAGCACACCGGGCATTCCACCTTGGACACGGCTGATACCTTCTCCTTCTCCAGGCAGGCTTCGCAAACACTGTGCTGGCAGTTGAGAATCTTTGGTTGCTTGAAGTAGTCTTGGCAGACCGGGCATTGCATGTGCTCTTCCCCTACTTTGCCCCATACCGAAAAGGCGCTGGCTCCAGTGGCCATCTTGAAAGGTCCAAACTCATCAAAAAATCACAGCGTACGTTGTCACAGCTGGCACAGCCACAATCTGAAAGTAGACGATAACATGCTTCTGGGTTCACAAATATAAACTGATTGATGCAATAACACCAATGGGATTTACACAGTTAGTGATATCAGTGCATCAGATTGTCATGGGCCTTTTACTCTGATGTAAATTAAGTTAACTGTGTAAATCCCATCCCATTTGAATGGGTGAAAAGCCCACAGCCTTTTAAAATCTGTTAGATCTGTTAGATGAATATACACAAGAGTATAATCATGAGCGTCGTGAGGGGTGGGGGAGGGGGGGGGGGCGCGCTTGCCCACCCCCACCCACCCCTCGGGTGGGGGGGGGGCAAAATCCCTGCGCACCCTCCATAGCATTTTAACTGAATATACACAAGAGACAAATTGATATGCTCCATCAAGATGAAATAATCATGTTAAGCAGTTTTGAAAAATAAAAGGATATCTGCTTGCACAGCTGTTTTTGGGACACCCAGTAATTTCGATTAGTGTTATACTACTTACCGTACATACAAACACTATTGGATACTAGCCTTAGAAATGAGGTACACGTATTTGACAAAATCAGTGTCCAGACAGCAGCTATGTGTTTGGCCAACAAATTGCTCTACTGCTCTACTCTTACCGCTCTACTCTTACCTTACAAAACCAGTCAGAGTGCTAATTATGTGTGGGTCATAACAGCTAGGGCCTACACGGAAAAAAATGACATGCTCCATCCGCAGTATACTCACCAGGAACACAAGCTGTTTATACCTGCACGGACGGGGCTGATAATTGAAATCATTGTGCCCACGAAGCCAATGGTACATGGTTCATCTGTTGACTGCATCAGCATGTGATCATGAGTATCCGACATGCTCTATGTATCAGTTAAAAATAAATTCGACACCTGCATTTGTATTCATATTTCCGTTTGACTGGCTGGCAGACTTTGCCTCTTTGTCAAACACGGGGTTGTATTCAGGTTTGAGTAGCGCCGATGTGACCTTTGTGACTGTGTATCGATCGATATTCAATGAATACTTTTTTTATGGTTTAACCACAAAGACCAAAAGAGGTAAAGTTTGCTTATTTTTCCAGGACTGTTAACAGTATCAAGCTCCGGTAACAGGATCAGGTAAGAGTCAACAAACTTTTATTTCCCTGCAATGTTATAACATTTACTTTTCCTGAAAATTACCGGCAGTCACTCTTCAGGTTGAGTGATATGCAATCTGTGTTGTCTTTACAAGTGAAGAATAAAACAAAAAACCAGGTGATCGATTTTTATATATATTTCTATCAAATCATGTTTAATATCAATGAAGTAAAATATATAGTGGTTGAATTGTTGAGCTGCTTACCGATCTGCTCGGTTTGCGAACAAGAGAGGGCGTGTTTCAACCACTTTTGAAAGGCTAGAGGATGGCTTCGTGCCTGTGTGGCGCGAAAAAACCTCGTATGACTAATTTTACTCTGAATGTGTATAAAGCCAAAGCGTTATGTTAGAATCTCCACGTTTAATAGGGAATTGTTCACAGAGCACTTTCTCAACAATCGTTTCATAATATCTACAAGCAAGTACACTTTACAGTTTTGTGTAAAAATATATACAGCTTGTAATACTGTAAGGTTAGTTAAACTCTGTACATCTGTGATTTTTTGAACATTTTACAGGGTGTATATAACATTGGCACTATAGCGATATATTTATGCTGTACAATGAGAGCAAAATCGTGAAAAACAATTATTGTGCTCATAATTACATAATCATTATCGGATTTGTTAAAGTACAACCTTGTGTTGATTGGTTTATTTCTTTTTTCTAAGAATAAGAGCACTTACTGACGAACGGAACACACCATTCTAACTTTGCAAAAACCGGTCAGATCCACAAAATAGCGTCCTTATAATATAAGATTCATTGTATGATACAACCTGGAATCTTTTAGTGAGGAAATGCGTTTCCCTTTTTCAGGAACAACGGTATTCGGGGAAAATTGTAAATTCCGATAATGCATGAAAAAAAAAACCCCGGCGGTATGCTGCGTTAACTTCTTAATTGGGCAGACTGACGGAAATTGTTAGTTAGTTTGCAGGATGAATCATGGTACATATTTACATCGGAATTTTCATTTTCTTGTAATTTGGAATTCTTACATTCTTTTGTATCTGGTTTATGCTTGAACAATATTTCTTAGTGATTGTCTGTTTGCTTTTGAATGAATGGTGCGGTTACTCTGAGAAAAAAATAAACAAAACAAAATCAGGTAGGGGTGAGGGGTGGGTCTAAAAAAAATGAGGACCTAAGGTTTACGACCAACGCTGCAAATGCTAGAAATCTAAACGCAGACACAAGGCATAGGCCTATATTCGAGTTAAATCAATTCAAAATTGTGTTAGTTTGACGGTCATTACAATTGACGGCTCAAACATAGACCCGCGTCGAATTTGGGGTGGGTCTTTTGACTTCCTCCTCGGCTCCCTATTTGTTTCCCCAAACACTGATTTACAAACACCGATTGACAACGTCCAAGTAGGCCACTTGTGATCGATATGGCAGTCCTTGCAGATCTACAACACGACACATATTTTTGACGGTGGGTCAGGGAGTGGCCGGGGAGCGTTAGCTGGTCCCGCCGGGGCAGGGCACGCGGGAGCTTCCCCCATCATAGGGCACGACGTGGGGTGTGACGTGGGGAGTGGTGTGGGGCCCAGCGCCACAGTCGACCCCCGAGCGATGTCCTCGTTGTGCGGTGAAGCTCGGCTCTTCTCCGATGTCTGAGACGCCTCGACGTTTGCAGGTGGACTCTCTGAAACGGTGTACAAATATTTCACACTTGTAAATTCGGATCCTCCAGTTAGACAGATTGACATTAGGATAATTGCACAAAAGAGTAGTGAGGTTTGCATCTCTAAATTGTCAATGCCATATTTGAGACTGCTTGACACGTGTTTAACTTGTAGTGAAATGTGAGCTTTTAATTACATTTTTGCATACTATCAATACACGCACCTTCGATCATTCTTTCAGTGTTGATGACGTCATCCCCTTCATCTTTCTGTAATCCGCACAGGAAGTAGGTCCGCATCTTGCCTTTCCCTTTGACCTCAATGTCGCCTCGAGTCGAGAAGATGAACCCGTCTTCTTTATTCTCGACAGCTCTTGAAATTTACAATGTACAGAGTTGAAAATCACATGCAGATTACGCTGATTGTTTCTAAATGTATAAGTACTTGTTTTGCTAGGCTCTCCACAGACAGCACCGACTATGTCAGAGTGGAAGTCCCCTCCTACCAACTTAAAAAAAATCAGCAATCTTGCTTCATGCAATAACAGCTAACGCATCATGTGCACCTTCTTGGTGTAGCATGCAACAATTGCAAATTGTCTCACTTTACAACCGCTATCCGGGTCGTAAGTGTGACGTCACTGCAGTTGAAACCACGCCCACTGCACACGGAGTAGCATTGGGACCATTGGAACCGGAAATGGTGCAAAGTGGCGTGTTTAGCCAATTGGCGCTAGTAATCAGCGGTGTACGTGTTCTACATAACCCCTACATAACCTCACGAGGACCGACACACAAAGGGAGAACAACAGATCCTTTCAGTCCTCGGAGTGGGGTCTTTTGTTGGAAACGGTCCTCTGTAGTAAGTTTGTGTGCTTATTCTAAGGGAGAGCGCTATATTAGAGGGACAAAGGGAAAACACAAAGCATTGTCCTCGAAAGTATAGTAAAACACGACTGCGTGAGTTTCTTTGTGCATTCGATAGGGGACGTTGACCGATAGAGGACAATAGGGTCCTCAATTCCCGAGAGGTCCCCAATATCGAATGTGTACTAAACATATGGTAGGACTTCCTAAAAAGATGAAGTACAAACAAAAGAGGAACAATAGGGGGTCCCCGATTGCAGACAAATACACACGACGCAGTCACTTACGAACCGGATTAAGCAACGTCTCCGGTGTCAGGGAACATACCGATTGATAGGGCCCCGCGTTTTACTTATGCGCTTTTCTATTGGGCTTTGAAAGTACGAAACCGTCATCCCCTCCAGGCTAAACAAACACACATGTAAACAAACTGTGACGTCATTCGTACAGAGACTTCTTAAATTCTCACCTGACCACCGCCTCGCTCGTGTGCACCTTCCCCGGCATTCCCGTGCTCTCCATCCGCGAGGCCGTGTTGACGGTGTCCCCGAAGAGACAGTATCGCGGCATCTTTAACCCGACAACGCCTGCTACGACCGGTCCCGTGTGTATCCCAATTCGAATCTGACGGGCAAATTCAAGAGGCACAGTCGTGGACCCAACAATGTGGAAACCCTTCGAACCCTTCTATTTTATAATGTGAAGAGGGTTTTCCCTTCAATAAATCAATGGATCTTAATCATGAGGTACAGCGTAATGTTACATTATTCTTATCTGAATGGGTAAGAATGGGAATTACCTTACTTGAATGAAAATTGGTGGGCACATGTGGTCTAGTGGTAGGGAGCAGGATTCATAATCGTGAGATTGTGGGTTCGATCCCCGCCGTGGCCATGCGTGTTGTGCCCTTGAGTAAGGAGCTTTACCTCAATTACTCCTCTCAACCCAGGTGTTAAATGGGTACCGGCATTATTCAATGCTGGGAAGGTAACATAAGCGCTGTGGAGGAGGTGTGGTGATCCCCCCACAGCAACATTTCATGGACTCGAGTCTGGCCCAATCGCTTCGAAAGAGAGATGGGCACTCCGTTCATGTGAACACAGGTTCGTCCCCTTTTACCTTTACCTTACCTGAATGGGCTCCCCGTTGATTGGCGATAGAACCTCGCACGAGGCTTTTAGCTGCTGGAGACCGAACCTCGCTACTCGCTGAGCGTGTGCATCGGTTTCTACCGGGAGACCTCCCACAACCATGTATGCATCGCCAATGGTCTCAACCTAATTGACAAAGCATTCTGTTCATCAGTGTTAATCAGTACCTACTTTTAGAGATTGACGAGATTAAAATTACGAGTTGACTATTAGTTCATGCAACCAGTCTGTTAAATGATGCAGTGGACTGGTGTCATCAATTTTATTCATTAAGAGTCATTTCGTCACTTCTTTTGGAGGAAAAATCCCAAATGGTTATTTTACAATGTAGAATGTCATTATCCAGTGGTTATGTTGTTTGACTCATGTACGATGGTAAATGGGTTAGAACCCTACCAGGAGCATGGTGTTTGTGCCCTTGGGCAAGGCACTGAACTACAATTGCCTTTCTCTACCTACAGGAGTATGAATGGGTTAGGGATAGAGGGCCGAATGTGCGCAGATAACAGCTGACGTGAGGTCCCATGGCCTGATGAACAGGGGAATAATTGTAAAGCGCTTTGAGATTGTTGATACGATGGGAACGGCTATATTAGCACTGCAATTTATTATTTTTTTTTACCTTGTAGACCCCACAGACATTGGTCAGTTGGTCGAATCTGGTATACATTGCGTTGAGCAGGTGGACGATCTGAATTGGCTGACACTGGCTGCACATGTCAGTGAAGTGCACGACGTCACTGAAGAGAATAGTCACTTGAGGGAATTCACCTGGAGGAATTGTTCAGAGTAATTGGCGTACGTTAGAATTCTTCAAATCTTGGCAAGAAAGTTCTCATGGCGGTCTGAGAAAGAGCAAGCTTGTGTCTTTTTTTCCAGGTTATTAGACAACCTTAATTGTAGGTACACGAATCATGTAGGGGTCATTTAAGACGATACTTCATTTGTTAACACTTGATCGTACGAATCGAAGTTGTTTATCAATAAGTATCTCAGCGTCCAAGGCATTAAAAGTAATATAACGGTTTCGTAATAGATTTTTACTGTGAACTACTACTAACAAAGATCTTCGTTCACAGCATTACAAACTACCTGGCTGATTTTCCGTTTATTAAGGGAAATCGTCAAGACAACTAAAACGATTACAACCACACAACAAGCGAATCCCAGATAGCAGGTGCGGATATTTGTTTCATAGAAATACGTTAAAAAATAATGCGAACCCCCCCCCCCCACACCCCCGCTCTGACACCCCAAAATAATACTTGTTATACTATCCACTTGTTCACAAAATACGGACAGAGCCAGCTTGGTTAGGGGGTATTTGTACACTATTCTGTAATATAGTGTTAATAATCGTTGCATTTGAACAGCGCCCATCACTAACTAACACACCATCCACTGTAAGCCTACCTGCCTGGACATGCCGGCCCTCCCGCAGCTCGTTGGCCACCTCCCTGGGCAGCATGGAGTACAGCAAGGTGTCCGTCTTCTTCTTCTCCTCGGCCAGGTCTCTCATCAGCAGCCTCAGCTCTTCCTTCTTCTGCTCCAGCTGCTTGGAGAGCTCCACCTCGGCGATCCGCTGCTGGTTGAACAGGATCAGGTCTCGGGTGATGTCGTGCGGCGCTATGTCGGAGAAGTGCAGGCCCCGCTCCGTCAGGTCCTCCAGCTTGGTGAGGCGCGGTGAGCAGAGGAACACCATCTTCTGTTCTGAGTCCATCCATACCATCTGACCTAAGATGATGCCGAATTCAAACAAACATAATGGGTCTCATATCTCTCATTAACTTTATTTACCTTTCTTTAATAATAGACATAATCTCCAGCGCCTTGAGTACCTAATTGATGGTAGATACGTGCGCTATATAAGACTCCATTATTATTATTATTAAATGTAATCGTGCACTTTGACTGCTTCTTGACTGTAAGTATAGGTTTTCCCGGCTATTTGAAAAGATTTTGCATTCAAATTCATCAAATCTATTGTTCAATTTCATCCAGAAAAAATTTCACACGCTTAAAAAAACCCCAATTTTTAACCATTCAATTTCAAAGTTTGGTCATCTCTCACCGGGTCATTACAGATCAAACTCGTCCGAGCTGTTGCCGAATGGCAGTATTCAGAGATGATATTCGTCTTATATAAATCAAATGGATGATTAATTTAGAAATGAAATTCAGAATTTAATTTCTAAATAATTTGATTTCTAAAGGTTTGGCGTAGACGAGACAAAATGGAATAATCCGGGACGAAAACGTGTGCTCATTGTTTGAATTTGCTTGAACTGAATTTGAAATTGTCTGACAAAAGACGAAATTAAACATTGGAAGAGCACTAAACCGATGTTGATTGACGAATTTGAATATTAGAAACGGTGAATTCGAACGACGAGCGATTTAAAATAGCCGGGAAAACCTATATTAGTTGACATGCTGTTGGGATCTGCCACGTTGTGCTAATAATATCTTCGGTATCGCTAGCAGATTGCTATGCTGCATGAACTTCTTCGGGTTTAATTGTCCAATGAAAAAAAGGTTGGTGGTGTCTTTCCTGACTTGAATGTTGTCATTATTTTGACAGAGACGACCGTAAAAGATAGTTCTGTCGCTTTCTAAGGAAGGCGGGTAGTAAACATATTGGTAAGCGTTTGGGAGGGTTGAGTAGTACAGATGTCCGATTCTGCGTACACTGTCCTTCCACTAATCCAAAAAGAAAGGATGTTTAAAACCGTATTCATAAATACCTCAGACAGTTTAGCCATTCCTATTGGTCGAGAGTCCGTCACGTGGCCGTCTTAAAAGGATGATAAAGACATGGCTAGCTGGTCTTAAACACTTTTTCAGTGTCACATAAAATGTGGCCTCCTAAAAATCCAGTGCCTCTTACCGTTTTATTGGTTGAACGTTCACAGTCCTCACGTAGGCATGCGCAACACTACCAGTGAGTCAGAATTGTATAGTTCTAAATTCAAAACGCAACGCCCAAGGTGCGTTCTGCGCGACATCGCTCAGAACGTCCCACCTGCGCGTCAATTTCCATAAAAGGGTTGTTTACATCTTAATCGCCAGCTGAACACTCCATTATTTAGCTAGAGGGATGTTTAAAAAAGCATGAAGTAAACTTGTTGAACAAAATCGGGATTTTTTGACCGAAATATAATATATTTTCTGACCGAAAAGGTATTTATGAATGGGAATGTGCTCGGTCGGTATTAATCACTCTGTTTAAGACCGCTTAGGGTCTGTGTGCTGGTTACCCGGCTCGGGTAATTATCAGCACCCAGACTCTAAGCGGTCTTAAACAGAGTGATTAAAACCTCTCGAGCACACATTTATTTCCTTAATTAAATATATACTGTGTAACTATATTCTTGTTAATGAAGGGGAGCCTGAAACTTAAAAATCGTGCACGTACCTCTCAAGGAAATTGTGGGTTTATCTTGCATGTCACTCCTTAGTTCCTCCTTTTTGAAGTCCACGATGAAGATTGACGTCCTGAACGACCTCAGGTTCTCGATGGTCAGAGCGATATTGGGATGCCTGATGCTCAGGAAATCCTCCAGTCCAGCGCCCTCTTCCGTCACCCTGGGGCAGAACTGCTGAACTTTCACCCCGCAGTGCTGGATGACCAGGTGGCGGTCGAACACCACGTGGTAAGGGAAGGAATGGATGAAGGTGGAGGGGTCGATCAGGAGCTTGTCCGGGATCTTGGCTGAGAACTCCGCGTCCTGATGGCCGTCCATTTCGGCCAGGATATCGGGGGTTTGGTCTTTGGTAGGGGAGGTCTTGCCCTTGTCTTCATTGACGAGGATGGACAGCCACTCCTGCAGATCAGAGGAAATTTATCAAGAAACATATCAATAGGAATTCTTACTCAATTAGACCTTCTGAAAGTAACTATCGTAGTCGTACAACGTCTCAGACACAAACATGTAAGACAGTTGCACCTGTCCTATTTTGAACATATCGTCAATGACACCACGAAGTAACACCCAAGTGGACTTGAGTGCGCGCTACGCACGCGTATTTTACAGAACCGAGTGATTTTCGTCTTCACGAAGTAACACCCAAGTACACTCTACGATTACTCGATGCATTTTCGTTTTCACGAAGTAAGAACCATCTTTATTTCACCTGTTTAAAGGCTTTAGTTTCATTTTTCTGTAATCTCACAAGAATACGGATTAATGTTATTTCTGTCAAACGTTTCCAAATGTTTTTATGTAAATGATATTTACGTTACAATGTGAAAACGAAAATCGTTCGCGCCAGTGTCCGATGTGCGCGCGCACACTTGGGTGTTACTTCCTGAAACCAAAAAAAGGGCCTTTATTTGGTTTGAGGATGCAATTTCGTCGGACTTATGAGGCGTCTGACCTATGAGGCGTCGGACTTATGAGCGGACCCCATTAGATGTTGCAAAAACAACGCGCATGTCGGATTTAAATTTTCATGAAGAGACGAATTGAGCGCGCACGAAGGGCAAAACAAAGCGCGTGTGTGATATTAAGTTTTCACGACGAGACGAAATCGCGCTAACGTTATGGGCTATGGGTATTGGCATTTTGCCAAAACAACAGGCAGTTGGGATTTTGAGTTTTCACGAACAGACCAATCTCTAGGGAGATTAATTACTCTGCAATTCATTGTTCTAGTATAATGTAATTGGTACATCTTTGAAGTTTTAGATCTCAGCTGCATCAAAACGTCGGCATGTGCTCCCAAAAATTAGGCGAAATCATTATTTTAAAGGGAATATACATTATTTGCTTTTGCTGCAATTTTCAGAAATGGATGGAATTGGGGGTTGGAAATATATAGCAAATATAATTACACTGACTTTTTTGAGATTTTGGGTTCGAAAATGCTATAAAAACCAAGAAAAACAATCATTTTCCTGTAGTCTGGTTCCCTGACTCCATTTAAGAAGAAACAGAGCATTTTACATATATTGGGGAATTGTAAGGTCAGGGAACCAGTCTAGCTGGCTTGTACCCGTTCATAGGTGTGTAATCGATTGCAAACAAGTGCGATGGTCAACTGGGGCCAGTATTTGAAAAAAGCCATTTTTTTTCCAACGCTGATCGGCCGATCAGCGTTGGAAATTGATACAAAAATACCACTTTTCTTGAAAATGACAGTATACCAGGTGCCATGATTTTACAGGATGCTTTAGACTGTCATTCACTAACAGTCCAGCAACGTATTTCAAAATGATTTGGTAGTTTTATTTTTTGATGTTTGCAAATGTTGTATTTTCCCTTTAAAGAGTGACCAAACTTAAAACCCGTTCCCCCCAAAACCCCCACTGTTTATCACCCCGTGGTACATTTCGTCCCTTCGTGTAAACGCTGACGATAAAAGAAACCATGCTTCACCTCCTGTGAAACCTTGCCGTCCACGCCCATGGCCGGCAGGTTGAACTCCACGAAGCGGACATGGAAGACCCAGTGGTCCTTACGGACACCCCTGTGATACTCCTCCTTGTACTCGATCACGTCCATGTCAATCCGCTCGCGGAAAATGATTCTAGATACACCTTTGATGACACCTTGCGTGAAAAAAGTATAAGAAAATCATGCTATTGCAATGGAGGATCCAGGTTTTTTTTTTCAAAGGGGATGTAGCCTGGCTGTTGAGGTCCAAAATTGTTCAAGTCTTAGGTAGCTGTGGGGTAGAAGTCAAGATATCCAGCCTTTGTATTAGGCCCGAAGCAACGACCTTAAACTTGCAATATAGTATGCAGTTATTTCCAGAAAAGGAGAATAAGAATTATCATTTCTTTCCAATACAACTTTACTTTAAAAAATAATCATTAGTCAGACATAAAACGTGAGGTTGGTTAGCCAGCCGTCCAATGCGCCCGTGCATGTCATCTTCCAGGGCCTAACAATTATATGCATCACATGTTTGGTGTACTGTGCGGATTTGGTTTGGTGTCATCGCAGACGACCATCCATTGTTTACATTTTCGCGTTTAGAATAATAGATCAAAATACTAATGGATGGTTACATTATTAATAGTAAGAACAAATGTTGGAGTTTATTGGCCGAAGTGTGCAAATTAGCCCTTTTAAGGGTTTTGGACTCATTGGAGGGCGGGTTTTGGGGGTATTTTTGGGTCAGTATACAGAAAAGTACACGCAATCCAAACAGCGCCCATGCACGGAAGGTGCTATATATTTTTAAGCTGTATAAGGGACATGGTGAACAAAAGTTCCCTCTTACTTTTGCTAACCCGTACGTACGACTTATAACCGTACGAGTGCCCTATAACTCGTACGTACAACTTTCATATAAATCCTACGTACGACTTATCACTCTACGTACGACTTATAAGTTGTATATACGTACGCTTATAACTTGTACTAATGACTGATACCCCGTACGTATTAAATATCACCCATACGTACGAGTTATAATGAGTACGTTAACGTAATAATCCTACGTACGAGTTATAAGTCGTACGTACGGCTGAGCAGAAGTAAGAGGGAAATTTGTTATTCACCATGTCCCTAACACAGCTTCTTAATTTATCAGCCGTGCACGCTGATAGGAGTATCATACCTGACACCACGCCATTGAGCCCATGCCGTACGGAGAAATAGTGCAGAGTCAAGCTGCCGTCCTGCCTGGTCTCAGCCCTGAAGGAAGGCTCCTCCATCATCGGGTACATGGTCTTCATGTAGACTGTGTGCATGAAGTCCAGGTTGCTGATGAACTCAGCCAGGTTCTTACCCAGCGTGCAGATCAGCTTGTCGTAGCCGATGCGCATGGTCCAGGTCACCCAGAAGACGCCGAAGAGCTCGTAGACGGTGTCGGTATCCACGCCTGGCGGGTGCAACAGATTTTTTGGGGGTAAGGCACGTTTTTGGCTACAGAATCACTGTAACAAGCTTTGAGGAACACTTACAATGGAAGGCGTCAATTTGGGATCGAAAACACAATAACCACGCAAAGGTTATAGTTGGACAGATCGTTAAAAGCATAACAGAACACTCAACTGTGGCAGACAAGCAACTTTAATGTGAGCTATTAAGCACGCCGCACACGAGAGCTACGTGCTAATCAAAAAGTCATTCGAGGCCGTTCGCTCAGCACGTAGAACACAGAATATCCCCGTGTGCGGTGAATGTTTGCTGAGATTTCCGTTCGCCAGGCCAGGAGGCAAATATCTCCCCTGTTTGATTTATTTCGCCTCACGAGGCGAAAAACTCCCCGTGTGCGGTCAACCCGAGCTACGTGCTGAGCTAAAAAGATTAACTAACCAATGAAATCACGTACTCCGTACATGTGATTTTAAGATATTTTTGTGCGAATCTTCGAAAAGCTCGCTGGCGTTTGTCCCCATTTTTGAAATCACGCGACCGACAAACAAGAATAATGTGCTTCCATTGGTTAGTTAATCTTTTTAGCTCAGCACGTAGCTCAGGTTGACAGCACACGGTGAGTTTTTCGCCTCGCGAGGCGAACAAATCAAACAGGATAGATATTTGTCTCACGACCTCGCGAGGCAGAAAACTCAGCAAAAAATTCACCGTTCACAGTGATATTTTGTGAGCTACGTGCTGAGCAAACGGCCTCGAATGACTTTTTGCTGAGCACGTAGCTCCCGTGTGCGGCGGGCTTTAGGAAGAATTCAGTTTAAATTCATGCACTTTTTGTCAATTGTATACACAAACGCGGATAAATTATGGAAGGGGGGGGGGACATCGCGATTGGCTGTCCCACCCGCCCAAAAAAATCGGGGTGACATGTGTCCCCGGTCCCTACTCCACTTCTCCGCCTATGCGTAAGCTTACCCAACAGTTTTGCTGCAGCCTCGGCCAGACGGTAGGTAACGTCGTCGTCGTATTGTTGAAAATTTACGAATTTGTCCTCCACCCCGGCATTTTTGCTGTCAAGGAACAAAATAAGCTTAATTAGAATGGAAGACAATCAACAGCGTTCTTTCATCTCCTATACAGCTTTTTCTGTCAGTAATAGACTTAGGACGTGACCAGGTGCTAAATACCCGCACTTTCGTTGGACACATCATTGGTGACTGTTCCAACAAACCTTTGTCTTAACCAGGACAGTTCGTCTTTTTTAATGGATTTAATTGTTGACCGAAGATAAATAAAACATGGTAGTCATCTACATACCTTTCAATTCGAAGAAGGCAACGATGACACACGTATTTGATTATATTAAGTAAACTCATTCAAACACTAGAAATCCTTAATAACTGCGCAAAAAACCCTGATATCTCCGGTAGAAGCAGGAAGGATGGCCAAGGGCAGAAAGACATGGCACAGCATCAAGTGCCGAGCGACAAACGCCCGTGGCGACGCCTTACAGTGGCGTAGCAGGGTCATTTCTAATGGGGGGGGGGGGGTTAAACATTTCTTGAAAAGGGCAGTTTCACATATACATCCGTGCTGAAATGTAGACACATTTTTTTCTCCGGACACTTGGCCTCTGTAAAATCAAATACTGGGGGGGGGGGGGGGGGGGGGGGGGGGGGGGGGGGGGGGACCATCCGTCGATGGGGCGCTGTTTTGCACACCAATGGACAATATATGGTGCTTTTCAACAACAAAAAGGCACCCGGAACGGCCGATGGGACAAAAAGGGCACGACTTCTTTTTAAAAAGGCCACTTGCTCAGAAAAAAAGGGCACTGGTTAAAAATAGGGCATTCTTTACAAAATATTGGGCGGGGGCGGGGTGGGTAAGCTCTGGTGAAAAAAAAGGCATTTTAATGAAAAAGCGCAGTCTTTACAAAATATTGGGAGGGGGTTAAATCCCCCCTCCCCCACCGGCTACGCATATGCCTTAATTAAGTTCAGTAAGTCAATCTTATAACTACTTTCACTTTTAAATTATTTTATATTTACACATTGTCATCGGGTTTCAAAGTTACAAGTGACTGAAGACACGCTAACTTTTTACCTATACAGATGCTCATCGGCATCAGCTAGTACGTGGAGATCTAAAGAATAGACCTACACTGCACGGTGCACGGAGCCCAAAGGCCCATGTCCTATGAGATAATGTGTTTTTATTTATTTATGCTCCGTTGATCGATTGAAGACGTTCCAATGTCGGACACCGCTAAAATAGTGTTGCTCCTTTAGTCAGAACTGCCGAACTTACGTTCACCAGAAAACGGCCTTGTTTTTTAAGTCCCGCATTGTTTGTGCTTTTACATAACATGAAATAATAGCAACGATTCATGAAACCATTTCGAATAGAGCACCTATATAGATGAAGGGTTTAGTTGCAAAAGGGCTAACGAGCAAATTGACAAGTTCAGACACGAAAACATGCCCCCAAAATTTAAAATTCTTGGATATATATTCTTTTGCATGGCAAATGCAATTTTTAGTCTTATTTTACAGATTTTACCTGATGGCTTCTCGTCAAACCCTAACCATTGCATGTTCAAACTCATCTTTGATATAAACGGATAAGACCTTTTGCAACTAAGCTCTCCAAATACAGCTTTTGTTGAAATTGAAGAAAAAAAAGGGTTTTTTTTAATGGTTTTGTTGAAATTGAAAACAAATGAATAATAATAACCCCCAAAACAAAGCGTCTACTAACGTATAACGCGTATCACAGAGAGCAAAGACCTTTCCTCGGTAACGTCGTATTTTCACTACCTCGAAAAATAGCTTAAACAAAGGCATTACATAGAGTTATTGGCAACACAACAACGTATCCTGACGTCACTAATGCTATAAGTCCTGCAGAGGACTGCGGGCGATTAAAAGCTTATACAATAAATTTGCCAAAACACGCACTGGCACTGTTTTTCCAAAGTAGTCGTTTACTTTCACGTCTCTGTAGGTTTGATGTTTTCCATTGTGTTGAGATTAATCGGACAGTTAGAAGCCGCAGCAGACCTAGCGCGTGGCCTTGAAGGCACTGCGATGACTACAGACTTACCGTATAGTATCCCACGTGCTCTCGCCAAATCTCTCGAGAACCAAGTCCTTCAGGCAGATTTGTATGAGACCGTACTGTCAACAAATTAAATAAAACACAATAAGCGGATATAAATACACGGATTACGACAAAAAACAGTTTCGGAAGTACACTCAGTATATGAACGCGTCTATTCAAGAGTATTGTTTAAGTTAAACCCATCAGAGTACATAAAGACATTCTGCTATAAACAACCTCTGTCAATTCTTTTCTTTTCTGAAAGGAGATTGCCAACGTTAAGCATCACTCGGGTTCAGGTTTTTAAAGGTCTTAGCCTTCACGGATATGTGAATTCGCAAGTAAGATTGACTTTTTAAACAAATATTTATATCTGTTTGGTAATGAAACCAAGGATTCCTCAGAAGAGCCTTAAAGCTCGAAAGGCCAGAAGAAACCTGTAGAGAGAAGACAATGAGAAGATATTACAGTCTTAGATGTGGGAGGAAAAACCCACTACATTCAGGTGGGAAAACCCAGGGAATCAGGGGCTGAAAATCCAATGAAAATGTGAACCAGGGCAGGAATCGAACCCGGGCCACAGCGCAGGAAAGTAACCAGGGCCCGATTTTATGGAGCTGCTTAGGCCCCAGGTCGAAATACAAATGGTTTGTCAACCAGGAATGAATGCCTTTAATCTCCTTTCATTTTGTTCCCCGATTCAACAGGAACCGTTTACCGCTTGCAAAGGAACAGTTTTCCGGTTGGGAGTTGGCTGTGTGGCAGCGTCTTTGATGTGCATCATCCATTCGCATCATTAGAATGTCATCCTATAAGCTCTCTATCGTTATGGACGAAGTAGTTGGAGAGTTGAGTACACCCAACCGCGAAGCCCAGTGTGCAGAGCACAGCCCCATTACACTAGGCAGGCAGAGATAATCTATCTATACAAAAAAAGACGATCACTTATGTAATCAGTCGCCAAGCAGCCACAATAGAATGCAATCCTATAGGCTCTCTATCGTTATGGACGAAGTAGTTAACGAGTTGAGTGCACCCAAACCGCGAAGCGTTTTTCTCCATACTCTGTATGGTTGCACGGTTCACTTCAAAGCGAGTAAGGGGCTAATCGTTTATTTATCATTCCTGGTTGGCATACCATTTGTATTTTGACCTGAAGCCTTAGCACAAAATTTGCTTAGCACAAAACAAGTCTGGCGTAAGAAAGCAGGATACCAGCAAAAACTCCATGTGGTTTTCATGCTAAGCACACAACAGCCGAATACTAATCACGAGCAATATACATCACATGGAGTTTTGGCTGGTAATCTGCTTTTATAAGCCAGACTTTTTTGTGCTAAGCGAATTTGTGTGCTGAGCAGCGCCGTGAAATTGGCCCCACGCTGCAAAAAAAGTTGAGTAAAATGTTACTCAACACTTAACTCATCGTTGTCTAAATCTATGCAATCGAGCAGTTGTAGAGTATTAAAATGCACAACCGTGTTGTCAGTTCCGTTCACACAGTATAGTTGGCGAATTCTTTTCAACAACAGGTGCGTAATTCTACTACTCAACAATTGGGTATTCGTTTACTCATTATGTTGATCATCGTATTATAAGCACCTGTTGAGCATTTCTATCGAACAACAGAACTGTTGAGCATTTCTATTGATCAAATGTTGAGCATTTCCCGTTCTGAGTTCCTGTTTTGTTTATGTACCTGTACACAGCAGTGTACTGTTTTACATAACCCCGAGGACAGACACACAAAGGGAGAACAACAGATCCTTTCAGTCCTCAGGAGTTGGGTCTTTTTTTCGAAACGGTCCTCTGTTGTAGGTTTGTGTGCTTAGTCTATGGGAGTGTGTTATATAACAGGGACAAAGGAAAACACAAAGCATTGTCCTCGGGAGTATAGTAAAACAAGAGTGCGTGAACATGCATGAGCTGCTGGATGGACTTGGGTCTAAACATTGCAACTTTAATATGATTTCAGGGATCTAGTTAAGAATACGCTCGTAGTTGCAATGTAGTGCGCTCATGCATAGGTGGGATTTAATTTAAAAAAAGGTCATATTTTTAACATGTAGGCCTAGGTGGTTGGTGTAGATTTGCTGGAGCGTTCGTTAAATTCAGGAAACGAAATGCATAAGTTGTGGTTCATGAAACCTGAAAGGGGTAACCAAAATATCGAGACCAAAGGGGACCAAGACCGAGACCAAGACCGAGACCACAGCTCCCGAGACCGAGACCGAGACCGAGACCGGCAAAAAGTGGTCTCGAGACCGAGACCGCGACCGAGACCGGTCTCGAGACCTACAACACTGTGGTAGACACGTTAAGTTGGATTAGAAGTGCATAATGGGAGTTTCAAACCATCGATCATTTCATTTCTTTCATTTCTGTCACAAAGTATTAGTATTAGGTGAGGCGCAAGCGTAAAAACCTATCACGTGATCAATCTAATAATATATCACGTGATTTCGAAAAGTTAACGCGATTTTGAATTCGAGTTCAAAATTCCAAATGATTTCGAAGTCACAGACTCGTGTTAAAGCTGGTAAAATCATACCAAAATTCAATAGACAAAGGTTTTTGTTAATCGCAATACTAAAAAAAAAATAGTTTGCAAAGATTTGTGACCTAATAAACTAGACAATGATTTCATTTGGTCAGTCCCCAAGGTGCCATTGGATGAAATTTCTCCTTGATCATTAAATCTCGCACTTCGTAGAGATACGACGCGTTGCATCGCTGCGATGCATCGTAAGTTACGAACAGTTTGATGAAATCGGGTGCACGACTAGTGAAAGTCACAGGAGATTGCAGGGTGACCGTTTTAACCGAGTTTCGGCTAACTTTGACAGATTTTATTGCTAAGAAACGAGTTTGACAGAAAATTTGACAGAATGGATTTTTTGGCAGATTTCTGGCACCTGACAGAAAAACAAATTAAATTTGAAAACAAATTGTACATTTTTTTTAAAAAAGCTTCAATCTTTTCAAACAAACCCTCGCATAATGGGACAGGTTGGCTGGTGTAGGCGCTGAGGTTCGGACGCAAGTGTGCATTCAGCAGAATTTGGCCAGAACCTTACGGTCACCATGAGTGACAGTCAGTCAGGCCGTTACAAAGAAGACTTCAGGCTGCCCTGACCTAAGCAAAATAATATAACACTCCTAACTCTGGCTGTCTCTAGTTCAAACGTCGTGTAGGCAAACAACTCTCCGATTTGAAGACCTATTCAATGTCGCGCTGCTCCTTGCCTCATCAAACTAGTGCGGCTAATAGGGCTGCAGACCAGTAAATAAACTGCCATAGACCCCAATGATAAATGCCCCCACTTCAACAATTCAGGAAAAATACTCACAACTCTCCAAGGTATTCCAGACACACATCAAATTAAAGCTAATTTCATCATCTTTCATTTTCTTTTCAATTTTTGGGGGTTAACTGATGACTTTTAGGAGAAATTTCCATCCGAAGATGATCACCCCTTAAAATTGTCCTGAAGCCCATTGCCATTTTTAAAAACCAAGCCTATACACTCCATCAATATTTTTTTTTTTACAAACCCTCAAGTTCACGGCCCACAATATGCTCAAATAGCGAAGAATTTGAGGGCATGCAAATCGTGATTTGGCCGGCGTAGGCGATTTCGGACCGATTTACTGGCCTGCAACCATAAGTAAAAACAAACGGGTCATTGCCCTCGGATGCCTTTACGCAACTCACTGTAGCTTTGACGCTTCACTGATTGTCAGTGCGCGACAGCTTTCACATCTGATACTCGCGTATTTTCATAGCCTCGGAACGAGTGCAGCGCAGATTTAGAGAGATGGCGATTATGCATCAACGACCTGAAGAAACCATTCTACACTTTTGCTTTTTCCCCATGTTTGTTGTTTGAAACGGCAACAATCGGGGAGATTTTCACACTGATAACGCCGATCTGAGGGGTCCCTGTCGGATCGCATCAAGATCTTCTGTCAATAACTGCTTCTCTTCCATGCAAAGTCATGTTTTGATGCTAAACTCGAGAATATATCGTTTTACGATCGCTGTTCCACAATCAATAATGTACCCCCCTTTTTTTTTTTTATCCCTGCGGGTTACACGCGGTTTTAAAGTTAAAGCTAATATAGGTTTTCCCGACCAATTTCCTAAAATGTTCATTCACTTCTGAAATCGGTCATTCATTTTCGTCTGAATTTGAAAATCGCTCTGAATACGCGTTTCATTTTCGCTACCAGAGCATTTGATTCCATTTCAGTTCAATCAATTAAGTGATTGAGCAGCACATTTCTTTTATGCTCATTCAGTTTCGTTTACAAGACTTCATGTTCGCTTTTGGAGAGCGATTTCAAACATTGGTCATTCTATTTCACTTGTAGTTTTATGTTACGTGATGCAATCTGCTATTTTGAATGGAAAAAAACCCTACTTTTGATTGCACATTTACGAAATCTGCCAGAACTCTGCGTGAAAAAAGGTTTGCTTGCGTAAATGAATGGAAAGGTAACGTAATTGGCCGTCTGTTTCTCAAAACCTAAAGCACGGACAGTGAAAAGGATGAAACTTTCGTTGAATTGAAATGGGATTAAAGACGTGCATTCAAATTCAGACGAAAAAGAACGACCGATTTTCAGAGGTGAATGAACATTTTTTTTGGAAATTGGCCGGGAAACCCGGGCCTGCAACATTTGCTTTTGTTGTAGTCTTCTGAAGAAATGGATGGATTTTGGGAGTTAGTATTTTAGCAAATATTATTACGCTGACCTGTTTAAAGTTTTGAGTTCATTGATTATTGAAAAACGAAGAAAAAATGCTGTTCTTGTAGTTTGTTTCCCTGACCCTGCATCAGAATAAACGGGGCAATTTATATACGTCGGAAAATTGTTAGGGAACCAGACTAGCTAGCTTGCACCCGTTGACGGATACGTAACCAGTTTGCAAAATTGGGGACCCTATTGTCCTCTATTGTTCAACTCCCCTATTGAATGCCAAAACAAGCCCCCCCACACAAATTATCCGCAGATAATCGAAACGTCACTGAAGATTTCACAATCCCGTGAGTCCGGGAAAAATGTTGAAACA